ACAGCATGGTCTCACAACTTTCTGTATAGTTCTGAGTGCCCCATCCAAACTTGTGAGACTCTGACTCATGTTATGGAGGGAGCCAGAAAGAACAGAGGCTTTAGCCTTGCACCATACCCTTACAATGTCACCCAATACCAGCCTAGTTCTTGTGACTTTCTAAAGTACTCTTTGAACTGCATAATAACTGGTGAGACCCACACCACTGTTGGTGAAGGAGTAGGTGTAGGCAGAGAATCACAACTTTGTGTGAGTCCCTATCAAGAACAACAGAGATCTCAAAATTATGTGAGGCACCGACATTGCAAAGGTGGACCCAGACAGCATATAACCAGATTTTTAAAAAAGAAGCCTCAAACCTTCTATAGGATCCCACCAGTATCTACCCAGACTTACAAAGACCAGTGACTTCACACATAAGACCATCAGCATCTTCACAACTGGTAAGACTACCACAAATTGAATAGGATAAGAGGGACAATTTCCAATGAATTGCTGCCGGTTTTTTGCTGATATATGTATTAGCCCTGATCAGTGAGGGGAGAAGTCACACCCATAGGAAACATCACATACAACAGCTGGGTTACAAAGTTAATAATGAACACCAGAAAAAAACAACAAATGGAAATATGATTCAACAAACAAATAATACAACACAGTGAGAAAAAATCCTCAGGACCCCAAGTCATAGACATGGAATCTCTGTTCTCCCTGTCAGATACAGAGTTTAGAATTGAAATGATGAAGAAAGTTTTTTTTTAATTTGAAGACAACTCAGAAAAACAAATGACAATTTTTAGATATAGTCAATGAAATGAAGACAGAAGGTGAAGCTCTAAATAATACTAAAGCAGTGTTACAGAAATTTAAGAGAAATACAGGAAATGAAAAACTGAGGAGAATGTAACAAAAGTGGATTAATAACTTATTGTAATTGAAGCTGTACAAAGAGTTTGGGTAGTGAAAAAAGTGATAAAATAAATAACAATCATGAAGAAACACTGACAAAAGTCCACATAAGAATAATAGCCATACTAATATGAAAAAGAGAAAGGAATAAAAAAATGTATTTTAATAAACAGTAAAGGAAAACTTTTCAAACCTTAAGAATGAAACAAAGGTACAAATACAGTACTGGGAATGCAGGAATTACTCTGCCTACCTAGGTAAAATAAGATTGGCAACAATACATTTGATAGTACATTTCTAAATATTTAGCACAAAAAAGAATACTGAAGTTGGCAAATGGATGGAAGCAAATATCATATGAAGGTACCCAAGCCAAATTAACAGACACTATGAGCAAGCAGAGAATGGAATGTTCTATTCCAACTACTTAAGGAGAAAAACACAACCAAGAAAACTTTATCCTGCAAGACTCTCCTTCATAAATGATGGGAAAATAAAGGTCTGTTCAGATATAGAGAAACTCAAAATATTTGCAAACAGACTACACTTCCAAGAAATATTAAAAATAAATTACACATAATAACTGAAATAGGGAATATACAAAAATAACTAAATAAAGAAATAGGCCAGCAAAAATGAAGAATAAAATAGCACTAATGGACAAACACATAAACAAAAATAAAATGAATTCACCAATTAAAAGATACTGAATAAGAGAACGGGAAGATGACAGAAGATTAAAGATGCCAAAATCAATATGTCTAATCTCACATAGGAATATAAGACTAAAAACGGACTATAGAATTGCATACTATAGGTTTCAACCCAAATCAGAACACCCTGGACTCACAAGAAGGAAGATAACTGAGGGAGAATCAAAAATTACTGAGTTCTGATAGGGGAGCTCTGATTTGGGAGCAACCAGGTGCCCAGGTGGTAGGAAATGCCTCAGATGCCTGAGAGAAACACTGAAGCTCCAATCGATCAGGGAACTCCTAGGCGCCTAGGTGCTAGTGCTGTAGATGGAGGATTCTTGCTCATTCAGTTCATTTACAAGCTGTGGGAAAAGTTTGTGCAAGGGGGCACATAGAGCCTGGGAGGTGAGGAGGAAGATCTGATAACTGGGGCAGCTACAACACTTGAAACCCTTTCCCCGGCCAAAGAATAGGCCTGGAGGCTTGTTCCCGCCATTAGTCACTAAAGCGGGAAAGCAAGTTCACAAAGCCCCGGAGGTAAAAGGGAAACAAACAAACAAACAAACAGACTAAATAAAAAACAGGCCCATTAACACTCTCCCAAATGGTGGGGAAAGTCTACTAAGGGATAGACTTCTCTGACTGGGCACAAAGAGCCATGGAGGCCCTGAGAGAGGACTGGCAGCCAACACAGCTGAGAGGCATGCAGAATTAGGACTCAAGGAGTTACTGGACAACAGTGGCTGGAAGAATTGTGAGCCAGAAAGACACTGCCTTGCAAATCTCACAGTGTTCAGAAAATAAACAAAATCAATGACTGGTTTAACTACAAGCCCAAATGCAACAATTCTAACATTCCCCAAACCCCATGGATGCATCCAAGCACAGAGGGAACCCGGGACATCAGAAGGCTACAAAGATCAGCAAGCACCTTCAAGAGACAAGGACTCAATGTATTACTGGAAGAAGCTGAACACCACAAGAGACCCCTGATTGTCATTGGCAGAAACGACAGAAACAATTCCACACAGTGGGGACTGTAAAAACAGGAGATATTGAAAAAAAAAAAAAAACAAGGCTCAGACTACACTCCACAACTGAAATGTCTGGAAGACCATCTGTAAACCCAGAAAGAACATCCAGAAAGAATGCTGGTCAATAATAGCAACACCATTTATCAACAAATAGAAAGTACTAGAAAATACATGACAGGGATAAGAAGACAAACAAACATTCAAGGGGGAAAATTCACCACAAAAAGTTCAGTCACCAGAAAGCACCAAAGAAATAGAAGATCTGCTCAGCCTACCAGATAGAGAATACACAATCATCATGATAAACAAACAAAAAGAAGATGAGAAGGAAAATATATATGAGGCAAGCCATAAAGCAGTTGAAGAACACAAACAAGGAAATGAATTAAATAAATGAAAAAAAAAACTATATGAGACAAGCATTCAACAAACTGAAGAAAGAAAATGAGACATTAAAAAAAGAAATAGAAAAGATGCAGGAGATGAAAAGACCACTAGAGGAGATAAAGAATGCTGGACAAAGTAATGAAAACAGAATAGATGAAATGGATGAACGAATCAACTCCTTCAAAGACACAGAAATAAAGAGAATTAAAACAGAAAAAGAAAGAGAAATTAAAAGGTAAAGGAATGAAGAAACACTTCAAGACCTATCTGAAACCATTAGGACAGAAAATACCAGAGTTATAGGTATCCCAGAAGCTGAAGAGAAATGCCAAGGAATCGAGAAAATAGTCACAGAGATAATGAGAAAACTTCCCAAATATGAAGAAGGAAATGAAATTAGAAATCCAAGAATCAAGAACACCAAACTACCATGACGACAGGAGAAATACAGCAACACACATCATAGAAAAACTATCAAGAATACAAGACAAAAAAGGATAATGAGAATGACAAGAGGGAAAAAAACAAATAACCTTTAAAGGGAAACCAATGAGGCTGACATCAGACTTGTCCAAAGAAACACTGTGGGCAAGAAGAGAGTGGAGGGACATACCCAACAAATTCCAAAGCATTAAATGTCAACCAAGAATACTGTATCCTGCAAAGCTCTCCTTCCTCTACAAAGAAAGAATAAGTATAGTTTCAGACAAACAGAAACTCCACAATTTTGTTATGACTAAAATCCCACTCCAAAAAATACTACAAGCCCTCAAACCAAATCCAATAGAAGAATGAACAAGAACAGTCCAAAACCAGGAATAAAAACACAAAAGAACCAAATAAATGGCATATATAGGTGCCAGTATATCAATATTATCTCCAAATGTAAATGGTTAAACTCATAAATAAAAAGACACAGAGTTGCAGGATGGATTAAAAAACAGAATCCAACTTTCTACCTTCTACACGAAACACACCTTTTGTAATTACAAAAGCTAAAAACAGATTGAAAATAAAAGGATGGATAACAATCCTACAAGTAAATGGTCCAAAAAAGAAGGCACGAACAGCTATACATATATCAGAAAAACTAGACTTCAAATTTAAAAATTTTAAAAGAGACAAAGAAGGCCACTGCATTATGATTAAGGGGATAATACAGCAAGAAGATATGACAATCATCAACATATATGCACCAAGTGAAGGAGCACCAATGTATATCAGGAAACTACTGTCATCTATGAAAACGTTTATCAGAGAATACACATACATAGTAGGATACTTCAACACACCACTCTCAACAATGGACAGATCAACAAGACAAAAAATAAGCAAAGACACTAAAGCTCTGAACAAGGACCTGGACTACATGGGTCTAACAGACATCGATGGAAAATTGCACCTCAGAAAATCTCAGTACACATTTTTCTCAAATCCACATGGATCAGTCTGTAGGATTGACCACATACTGGGTCACAAGATAAATATCAATAGATACACTAAGATCGAAATCATACCAACCATTTTCTCTGACTATGAAGGAATCAAACAAGAAATACACCATATGAGGGAGAAAAGCAGCCCACATCCCACGTGGAGACTGAAACCCACACTACTGGAGGACCATTGGATCGATGAGGAGATCAAGGAAGAAATTAAAACATACCTGAAGAAGAACGACAATGATGAGACAAGTCTCCAAAACTTATGGGACACATTAAAAACTGTTATAAGAGAAAAATATATAACAATACAGGCGCACATAAAGAAACAAGAAATAACTCTAAGAAACAAACTATTGTCCCACCTTAAAGAACTGGGAAAAGAATAACAAAATAACACAAAACCGAAACCTCCGGAAGATGGCGGCGGAGTCGCTCTCCTGACAGCAACTTCTCTGGGCAGAGTGGTGGGCGTGGTGCCCATTCCAACCAGCCGCCAGGCACTGGCCACCGCCCACCCCCCCTTCCGCGCCATGGAACCCGAGCTGGCAGCCCAGAAGCAACATCGGCCGCTGGGCGAAGCCGTCGAGCCTCCGGACTCAGCTCGGATGGCGCCGCTGGGCCTGCAGACGCTCGGGGTCTCGAGCCTGCTGACACCTGGGAACCCGGGCCTGCTGACACCCTGGGGCCAGAACCCAACGGCAGATATTCCCTTCGGAGAGGAAGCTCCTTCACATTTTTAACACCTGGCCCCCACTGGGACTTTACTTTGAAAAGAAAACGAAGAGAGAAAGATGATGGTGTTGTAAGTCTTAGCAGCCTTGATCTGAAGGAGCCAAGCAATAAAAGAGTTCGACCTCTAGCTCGGGTCACATCCTTGGCAAATTTAATCTCTCCTGTAAGAAATGGAGCAGTCCGGGCCCTCCCTGGTGGCGCAGCGGGTTAAAGCACTGCACTGAGAAACTAAAGCCACTTCCGCATGAGTTCGATCCCCGCCTGCCCCGGAGGAGATCCACATGGCGAGGCAGACCTCTCCTGACCCGCCCGCTGCTCCCCTCAGCAGTTTTCTGCTGAGTCCATTCACCTGTTCTGCTCCCCACTCTGTCTCTGGTGAATCCTCTCACCCTCCGCAACTCTGGCCTGCACCCCAGTTCTGTACGAATAAATAAATATTTAAAAAAAAAAAAGAAATGGAGCAGTCTGACGCTTTGGTCAAACAATACAGTCACTTGCCCTCCGTGGTGACAACAGGTCCCCGACTTCTGCCCAGAAGTTCTCAAGCAGATCAACAGTCCCGATGCCTACCAAGAGGAGTAGTGTTCTGTGGTCAGAAAAGCTAGACATCAATATGAAGGAGTCCTTAACTACCAATGAAATCAAACGTCAGGAGGCAATATATGAACTGACCGGGGGGAACAGGATTTAATTGAGGATCTTAAACTTGCAAGAAAGGCCTACCATGACCCCATGTTAAAGTTGTCTATTATGTCAGAAGAGGCACTTGCACATATATTTGGTGATTTGGATGCTTACATACCTCTGCATGAAGATTTGTTGGCAAGAATTGGACAAGCAACCAAGCCTAGTAGAGCAGTGGAGCAGATTGGGCACATTCTTGTGAACTGGTTGCCAGGCGTGAATGCCTACAAAGGCTACTGTAGTAACCAGCTAGCAGCCAAAGCTCTTCTTGATCAAAAGAAACAGGATCCAAGAGCCCAAGACTTCCTTCAGTGATGTCTGGAGTCTCCCTTCAGTCGAAAACTGGATCTGTGGAGCTTCTTAGATATTCCTCGAAGTCACCTAGTCAAATACCCTTTACTATTAAAAGAAATTCTGAAACATACTCCAAAAAATCACCCTGATGCTCAGCTTTTGGAGGAAGCTATATCAATAATACAAGGAGTTCTTTCTGATATCAACGTGAAGAAAGGTGAATCAGAATGCCAATATTACATTGACAAACTGGAATATCTGGATGAAAAACAGAAGGACCCTAGAATTGAAGCGAGCAAAGCATTACTTTGCCATGGGGAACTGAAGAATAAAAATGGACATAAACTTTACATTTTCCTGTTTCAAGACGTCTTGGTTTTGACTCAGCCTGTTACACGGAAGGAGCGCCTCTCCTACCAAGTGTACTGGCAGCCCATCCCCATCCAGGAGTTGGTTTTGAAGACCTGCAGGATGGAGATGTTAAATTGGGGGGGGGTCCTTTCGAGGGGCTTTCAGCAACTCAGATAAAGCTAAAAATATCTTTAGAGTTCGCTTTCAAGAACCCTCCACAGGGCAGTCCCACACTCTGCAAGCCAACGATGTGTTCCACAAGCACCAGTGGGTCAGCTGTATTCGCATGGCCATTGCCCTTTTCCAGCAGGTGACCAGCTCCACCGAGCTGCAAGGTCTGGCAGAGCTCCGCGAGGAGTGTGAGGAGAACAACCCCGCCGCCGGCAACATCGACACCCAGAGGAGGGCGTCCACGGCCTCCACGGTGACCCAGGGGGACATTGAGGGAGTCACTTCAGAATGTGGCTCCCCAGTACACCCCGCAGACAGCATGAAGAGTGTGAAAAGCCACCGATCATGGCCCTGCTTCCTAAACAAAAGGGACAGAGCCTCAAACGGCGGCAAACGGAAAGAGACTTTGGTGTAAAGGAAGCCCTGTGCGTTGACTAGCAGGGGCACTGTTTATTTATAAATGTGTACAGTTTGTTTTTCCTTGTAATGTGAGCTTGTCCTGAGAGCATCCCATGTTTACTTAAAACCAGTCTTAACATCTTCTATGGTTTAGGTGGTTGCCCCTTCTTTTTTTTTTTTCAATGGCAGCTAAAGATATATATGCAGATTACTGCTAAAAAACTGGGTTTTGTTTTGTTTTGGTTTTGTTTTAATTTGTTTGTTGCTTTTGTTTTATTAGTTATGTTCTTGGAATATTTAGAACATGCAAACCTGGTATTTTCAATCAAATGAAATAAGTTTTCTCCTCATTCTGCACTCATCATGACTTGTCAATTCCAACTCACTGTGGTATTTACTATATTTGCCAAAACTTAAAATTTTGCAAATACTAGGATTTTTACCAGTGTTTCTTTGATAGACCTAATATAGACTTTGAAATTTTAACAGTGGGATCTGAAATCCACATGGAATAGATGTTTGTAATATTTTAGAACTTACATCAAAACTTAAGTTCCTTGGAAACCATATGTAATAGGTTTTCCGTTTCATCAACTGGAATGCTATACAGAAGTTTGTTTTTCACTTCACATTCCTCATTTTTCATTCATTTAACCAACCAATTATTTAAATTTTTATTGTAAAGTAGTTTTTAGCATTTGCTTTTATTTTTTTACTTTAATGCCTTTTCAAATTGGCATGCCTTTATTTTTCTTCCTTGATTAAAAATGTGTGTGTATGTGTGTGTATACATATATATATATACATATATATATACTTATATATGTAAATTTTTAAAATCATAGTAACTTTACCAAGTGAAACCAAGCCATACTGTTTTTGAGCCAATTTTGAAAACTGCAATGTTGAAGTAGCGTTTGGGGTGGCCGACATGTAAAGTGCCTCCTTGTATTCTGGACTACTGAAAGGAAACCACCTTCATGATTCGTTGAAAGTTTTAGTGGTATCTGAAGATATGAGGGAGAGCAATTGATGACTGATAGTAAGTAAAAAAAGAAGGAAAGGGAGAGTAGTTTTGTCTTAAAATTAAAATGTTTGGTTATGCCAGAATGTGGAAGAATAGAGAAAAAGCTAAACTTGAGGGTATGTAGTAAGTTGTAGAAGGCTAGAGGGGAAGTGAATTTTATTTGCCTTGGTTTATAAAACCTGCAGATGATGGGTTTGAAGAGAAACAATGATATACGTTGGAAATATGGCATATTTGGTTGATGTATTCATATGATGGAAAAAAGACTGATTAATCTTATTGTAAAATGTTTCTGTTAAAATGAGATCCTAGTCTGAAAATTCCTGTCATGACAGATTTACAATGTTGATCAATCCAAGTAAATGTTGACTATTTTGTGAAATATATTTGGCCAGAAAATGAAAACAAAACAAAAAATAATAATTGTAGATAGGTCAATCCAAATGATTTCTCTGTATAAATGAATTATGTAATTAAAAAGAATCACACACATAATCACCAAAAAAAAAAAAA